GGAAAACACCAGCAGGTGTGCGGAGAGGCTCAGCAGTGTCACGAGACTCAAGGTCAGTAAGCAAAATGCACTTGTGTTTCCGGGCACTAGCAATGAGCAACGAGAATTCTGATTCTGTTAAAATCCCAATTTACTCTCCCAGAAATCGAAATATTGACGTTTAAATAGGGCGAAAACATTTGCAGGGTCTGTTTGCGGAACACTGTGAAACTCTTAGGGAAGAAACCAGACAAGACGAAAGTCGGAGGAGAGAGACAGTGTGTCCGTGAACCGGGAAACAGCTTTCAGCTGCCGGTTCTGCCCGTCCTGAGCTGCGGCGCCAACTCAGCCTTCGAGTCCAGCCCGGCACGGTGTCCCTGCGGCTCTGGGCACGCAGGTCCCGTGGGCGGGGCTCTCGTGAAACCCGGGAGGGAGCGGAGTCTCGTAGCCTCCCAGCGCCCAGGGCCTGGGTGGCGGGCGGCCGGGCGGGCGGGAGCTCCCCGTGCCCGCGGGGCAGCCCTCCCGAGAGCCTCATGTTGTAGGAGACGGAATGTTCGAAAAACATCAAGTGAAATTTATGAGGCTCAGAAGAGAAAATGCCTTGTTGTTTCTCAACCCGATTCCCACTCTTAAAATAGCCTTCTGATATTTTACCTCCATATGTCCGAATAAACTGCCGTTGCTGCCAGTTTGTGATTTTTCACGTTCAGCCAGCGTCTGTAGACGGGGGGAGATTGCATTACCACTGTATGGCTCTTCCTGGCACTGACACCCCCCCCAATCTACCCCTCGTGGCCATGACTTTTGTTTGAGTTTTATGTGTGTGAACACGTGCACACGCTCACACACGGATGGTCATGTGACCACTTTCGGAGCCGCGCCGTGTGATGCACTGCGGTTCTGTTTCTCTTCTCGTAATTTTGGTTCGTTCTTCGTAATTCTTTTGATTGCTTCGACTTCTGTGTGCCCATCACACATTCACTGCCACAAATTCTTGAAGTGATATAATTCTCTCACCTCTTTCTGTGAGTCAAATAATCCTCTCATCCCGTTTCTTTTCCTCGGCGACACCACCCAGGAGCCCCTCGTTGCTCCCCGCCCTCCCCCCCGGGATCCACACGGCAGCCGGGGCCCTGAGACTCGTCGTCGGAGCGGAGCCAGGAGCCCCTTCTGGCGGGCAGGGCCTGCGCTTCCTTCCGTTCTAGAGATCATGCGATGGTGCGAGACCGCGTGTGGCGTGAGGCGCTGAAAAGCCGGCTGTCGCGGCGGGCCTGAGTGGCGTGTAGATAACGTGCCGGGTCACAGGCTGTGTGATGGACGGAGGGCCGCGTGCTGTTGGGGTCTGCGTGTGTGTCTCCTCCTGGGCTGACCACGGCCCCGGGACCGAGCGCCTGGGCCGTGCTCTGGGGTCCTGCTGGTGTGCAGGGTGGGGCCGGGCCGGGGCCGGCGGAGAGGTCCTCCCTGCAGTTCTCTCTGCTGCGCCTAGACACACCTGCCCGGGCGCACTCGGTCCTGTTCCAGAGGAGAGTGGGATGGGAGCTGCCCCCTCTTCACCCCGCTCTGCACCCCGTTTTCAGACACCCCTGTGCCACCCCTGCTCCGTCTTCCTGGGAACCTGACTCCTGAGCAGGTCACGGACCCTCCCTGTGACTCCCTTGTCCGCACACTCAGACTGGAGCTCTCCTCTGCCCTGCCCAGCCGGTCACCACGGAGCCGCCTTCTCGGCACCTGCCAGAGTGCCGTCACATCTGCCGTGCCGGGGGCCCGTTCCCCGCCCGCCCACCCCAGTGGAGCACTGGGCCCCCGGGCCGACGCACGCACAGCGAGTGGACCGTGTGTGCGCAGGTCCGGCCTGGACTGGGGAGGGGGCCCTGCGCCCTGGGACGCCGTCTCCTCGTTGCTGCCGGTCCGATGGCGAGGCCAGAAAGCGGTGCCTGCCTGCGTCCGTCAAGCTCCCATCCCATGAGTGACCACTGTGACGTGCCGGGAACACCGACCGCATGCATCCATCGGTGGGGTGTGCTGAAGTAACTCGGCCCTCACCGGCCGTGGGGCCGGACCCGCTGTGTCCCTTCAGCCCTGCCCCTTGCGGTATTTAGCCCCTTCGTGCACCCCCTATCGCACACGTCATGGGACATGCGCTGCGTGAACTCTCCATCGTGAAGGTCACGTGCAGCCCCCACTCTGACCCGGCGGAGTCCGTGTTTCCCTCGTTTGAGTGCTCCCCTCCGGCACAGGGAAGTGGCAGCGAGAGCGGCTTTCCCTTTTTCCCTAATGTGTTTCTGATTTGATCCTTGCAATCGAATTTGTGTGTTTTCTGTTATCTCTGCACAGTACTCACCCTGGGTTTCTAGAGAAAGAAATAACTCACTGACCAAAATTCTGCTGTTGATGTGTTACGGTTCTATTTTCATAACATTTAAAGACGGACAAGCTCAGAGAACATCAAGTTTCTCCAAGGGGCCGTTTAAATCCAGCTGACATTTTAATGTGGGTTATATTAGAGCCCAGATGCCACACGTACTGAGGAGTGGCGTCCGGCCTCAGGCGCTGGGACGGCGTGTCTCTGCCCTGCCCCGCCACGCAGCCTCGGTCCGAGGTGACGGGAACCTGACTTGGAAACCCTCTGTGTCCTGTTTCCTGGGCCAAGCACGCGGGCCTCTGGGGGACCGCACGTCTCACTGGCGTTGCTCTGCCAACGGTCAGGTGCCCTGACTGGCAAAGGGCAGGGAGACACTCCGGTTTCAGTGTGTCTGGCCGCCCGGAAAGAGCCCAGCAGAAACAGCATTTTAGTGTCGTTGCCGCCGGGTGTCTGCCACCTTCCTTCATGTCAGTTCCCAAGATAGGCCGAGTTTTGTCCCTCTCTGGGCCGGCGGCCGGGCGGCGGGAGTCGGGGCAACGAAGGGTCTTCACAGGCAGAACGCGTGTGCACACTCAGATCTGGCCGCCAGGGGGCACGGGGTCGCTGAGAACACAGCTGGCCCCCTCTCTCTCCCCCTCTGCCTGTCTCTGCCCCTCTGTCCCTCTCTCTCCCCCCACCCCCTCTGTCTCTCCCCCCCTCTGTCCCCCCGCCTCTCTCTCCCTCTCTCTTTCTCCCCCTCTGTCTTCCTCCCCCACGTCTGGTGGAGACAGTTTCCCGTGTTACCCTGTGTTCCACTGTGTTGTCACCTCGGGCCCAGAGCCCCGGGAGCTCTGTGTCCTGCCTTTCCCGGCCGGTCTTCTGAGGCCCCTGCCCACCAGCCCTCTGGCCCCGTGCCAAGGCCCCTGAGCACGCAGGGACAGAAACAGGGCGTCCATCCTCCCCACCGGTGGGTCCAGCCGGCCCCGTTTTCCTGCCCCTTCGCCCGAAGCACCCTCTCCTCAAGCCAGGGAAGGAACCGGCCGGAACCCTGTCCTGGCCCTGGGACTCCGCCCTCTCTGCGCCCTCTCCCCCTGCCCGCTGCCCCTCTCCGCCCCGGGAGCTCCCACGCGCCCCCGAGGCCCCGGCTGAAACGCCCGCTCGCCGGCGGACCCTTCCTCGCTCTCGGCCTCCCGCACCGAGTCAGCTGGCGTCCTCCCCTGGCCTCCCGCTGTCCGTGGCGGGCCTTCGTGCCTCCCACGGAGCCCGGACTCCCCTGGGTCCGGGTCCGTCTCCCAGCCCCGGCGTGGGATCGGATGCCCGACGGAGGTGGCAGCGGGGCGGAGAGCGAGCGGCAGGAGGAGACGCTGAGTGAATAAGCGAGTCTGCGGGGGGCGGGCCAGTGCCGGGCAGCCGCGCGGAGACGCTGCGTCCCGCTCCGGCCTGGATCCCGCCGCCGCTGCGCTCAGTGCCCCCGGGAACCCACGTGCTGCTGCCTCGCGCCGGGTGCGCACTGGCTCTGGTGTACTGAAAAGGGGAATGTCGTGCCCAGTTCCCCACAGATGGCCCCGAACCTTGGAAACGAGCGAAAAGGAGGACTTCAGCCGTAGTTCCAGAAGTTGAGCAGGAAGACCGGAGGCCTCCCGCGGCCACTGGGGGGCGGGGGGGGGGGCGCGCCCCCTGGACGTGAAAAGCGCGACTGCAGACGGAGGGGGGAAGGGCTCTGCAGGTCCGGGTGTTGCAGCCGTAAACGTCCCCTGGGGCCTAGACACCTGCGGCTTCGGAGGGGGCGGTCTCCGCAGAGAGGGCGGTCTCCGCAGAGAGGGCTGCAGAACCCCAAGCACTGCCGAACGAAACGGAACACATTGTTCTGACCAGTTAGAAATGTGCGGGTTCAAACAGTGACACGAGGAGGAAGAACGGGAGGGAAAGTGCCCGTTTATGAGACAGTTCACTCATCGGAACTCCGGGGAGGACTCCCTCGTGTGCCGGGGAAACTCCTAAAGACAGCAGATGCCGAAGTTAGGAACAGAGACGCGCTAACAGGCTGCTTTTGGAATGTCGGCTGCGGCTTCCCTTCTCTTAACATACATGTATGTTTAAGTCATAAGACTGTGGAGTGTTTACTGAGCGTTGTCTGGACCACGGGCGGCGAACACAAGGCCCGCGGGCCCAGTCCGGCCCTCCACCTGGTTTCTGCCTGCTGGCAGCTCCGAGCCCTCGCCTGACTGTGAGGGTGGTTGCATTTACCCAGTGCTGAAGTTACATCCGGCCCTTTGGAGGCCGCCGCGAGGCTGATGGGGCCCCCGGTGAACATGAGTGTGACGCCCCTGGTGTGGAGCTGACTCTTTGTCTTTGCATGGGAGACTTAAACAGTAGATACAGTGTTTCGCACGTGCAGAAACAGGGCGGCGTCTGGTGACCCGCCCCGCCCTGGGTAGCAGCCCTGAGTCCCAGTCCCGGTCCCAGTGTGGGACTCTCCTCACCGGGCGTTGACTAGCACGGCACTCCCGCCGCCCGAGACCCCGGGCCCCCGCCGTTCCAGACTCGCTCCAGACCTGCGGGCGTGGGCCCACGGCCGGCGTTCTCGGTGGTTCTGCCTTTGCTCCCTCTCCTACGTGGCTCGTTCCCCACGGAAGCGCCCGGCGAGCGTCTGAAGTGCCGTGTCTCTGTGTCGTTGCAGGTGCTGTGGTCGCTGGAACTGGGCCACTGGATCTCTGAGGAACCCTTCGAGCTTTCCGGCTCCTTCCCTGCGGCTCCTGTGAGTCAGACGCCACGTCGTGGTGGGGCGTACGATCTGGTGTTCTCCAGAAATTAGGATTAGTGCAGCTACAGATTCGAGTGCCCATTGACTGAGAAGGCATGTCAGCCAAACCTAGCCCTTGCTTTCTCTATATGTTTGTGAGAACAAACGTGAGAATGTTCTGCAGAAAGTTGGGAGGGATGCATTCTCAAAAAAATCTCAAGAAATTTTAAGTACGGAAGTCCCCAGGACTGAGAAAAACAAAAACGAGAAAGCCTGGGTTGTTGAGAAGGGCACGTTGCGTCCCGTTGCCAGCCCTAACGACCACACCGCTGCCGCCGCCGGCGGAGGTAGAACGCGCGGGTGTAAGACCCCCGGCCAGCCGGCACTGGGACGGGGGCTCGCGCTTGAACGGGCTTGGACTCCGCGGCGCCCTCGGTGGTTCCGATGCTCGCGGGAAAGGAGTGATCTAGGCAGTGATCTCTCTCGGGCTTGCTTGGAGGCAGGACTGCGCGGGAGCTGGCCGTGGTCGTTCTCAGACGCGCCCCCCCCCCCCCCCGCCCCGCTCCGCTGGTGGCAGTCCGCTCGCTTCAGCGGTCCGCGCCTGCGCGACAGGCGGGGACTCGCCCCTGCGACCCGCGCGCCTGCCTACGTTCCGGCTGCTGGGCCGCAGCCTGCGGTTCTCACGGGCCGAGAAGTCGGCCTCTGCCCTGATGCGCGGTGGTGTTCAAGGTTGCCGGGTTGTTTTGTTTTCACTTCTGAGATGACCGCTTTGATTCCCTGTGCACTCCGTAAAGGTGTTCCTAAGGAGGGAGCGGTCTCCTCCGACACGCTCTGAAATGCCGTGCAAGGAGCACGCAGCAGCACACAGCAGCACAGTCACGGAGCGCACAGACCCGCTCTCCGTCGGACGAGCGCGCGTGTCGTTCCAGGCACCAGGGGGCGCTCCGCCGAGGACACGCGCCCCGCCTGCCCGCAGCTGGTCCCGGCCAGCTCCTCCCGGGTCGTCTCTCTCCCGCGCGTGTCTGCTTGGTGCTCGTGGAGCGAGGGGCTACAGAAACTCGCTGTGGCTTTTCAGGCGCCGGTGTTTCCTCGCCGTGGGATGGTTTTCACTTGGTGCAGAGCTGGCGCCTCTGCGGAGTGTGTGGCGACTTAGCTGTGATCGGGGTGGGTCCTGGACTCGGTCTGCGTGCTCGGCGAGGGACTGCGAGGCAGCGGGCGGGGAGAGCCCGTGGACGACCGCCGGGGTGTTCGCACACAGAGTGGGGCGGGGCGGGGGCGGGGCCTGTGCAGGTCACGTGGGCTAGAGAGGACGCTGGGACAAAGGACAGGGCTCTGGTAGGGAAGTGCGGGCGAGGACGCACGTGACGCACGTGCTGGTTGCAGGTTCGGCCCTAAGCTGCCTGGCAGCTGCGTCAAAAGCAGGTGCATGAGATGTCGCCCCCAGATTCCCAGCGGCCCCCGGCCTTGCGCCTGCGCGCGCGGCGCCGGGCAGACTCCGGGCAGCGCGAGGGCCGGGGTGTGAGGCAGCCCCGGCTCAGCCCCGCCCTCTCCGAGTGCCCTGTACAGGTGCTTGCACGCTGTGAGCGGCGGGGGCTGGCCTTGCACTTCCCAGCGCCCCTTGGAAAGTGTTCTGGCAGACTTCTTTTTGTAATCTTAATAGTGCACATTATGTTTTCCCTAAAGTAACCTCAGGGCCCAGTCTGACTCGAGGAGATGAGCTTCACACAGGCCTGGAGCGGTAGGCTCTGCTCGGCCGCGCTGAGCGGGGCCTCCCCCTCCGGCCGTCTCACCGGAGCAGAACCAGACGCTGCGTCAGAGCCAGAGCAGTGCGTGAAGGCCAGCGAGGTCTCTGCGCCACGAGCCTGCACGCATAATTTTCCTCATCGTGGAAAATGAGGAATTTCCACGTCACCAGACAGACACATGGGTTGTTTTGGAATCCAATTGCTATTTTCAAAATATTTCAAGTGTTTTCAACAAAGTAAATAGCAAAATAGTAAATATTTTCAAAAAAGTTAAATGGACTCATCTCACCTCATAAGTTATATTTACTCTCTAAAAATACCTTCATATTTAACAGTCAGGCGGCAAGAACAAGCCGATAGCACAGTCTTTACACGAGTGAAAGAATACATCCTTGGCGGGGCCCCGGGGCCGCCACTGCCCGACCTTGACATCTGCGTCTGAGCATTAGCTTAGAACTTGGCCGGCGACACACGTGTGACTACACCGTTTTCGGATGAGAACTCGAAGACCTAAGGAGAGCAGAGATGCACGGACTCCGTCTCTCCTCCTGCGGACAGTGGGCTGCAGGCGCGCACTTCTCGGACCCTCCCCGAACAGGTCCTGCGTCCGTGTGGCCGCAAGCGTGTTTTCCGCCCTCTGGCTGAGAGAGTGGTGCGCACAGAGAGTGCGGCCCCGAGCCTCCCCCCGCCCCCAGACGGGCCCTCGAGTCTGTTTTCCAGTTATTTACGGAGGAGCTGTCACGCGGGGCGCCCTGGAGTGTCAGGAGGTCTGCGAGTCCTCCCTGCGAGCTCCAAGTGTCTTTGCAGAGCTGCCCTGCCGGGGCACGGGGTGGGGGGCGGTTCCTCGAGTGGAGCAGGTGCCCGTGGTGGGGTTGCGGGGCTCTGCCGCGGAGCCCCCGTGGGCACGCGCCCCTCCGAGGCGGCGGAGGTGGCAGCGCGGCGGTGTCGTCAGAGCTCTGGGACCGAGTCTGGGACAGCGAGCCGCCCGCCCTGGCCCGGCCCGGCCCGCACAGGCCCTCAGAAGTCCGCGGGCCGGACCATCATGGCCGTGGCCTTGAGTGAGTAGCCTGAGCCCTTCCAGTAGTACCACTTGATGCCGTTGAACCTGTTGGTGTTCTGCCGCTGGGGGTAGTACATTCCGTTCAGGTTGGAAGGGCCGCATGCGTCGAACCACCAGCCTGTGGAAGTAAAACAGATGGAATCAGGGACCAGGTCAGCCCACCCGCCTCCCCCCGAGGTGCAGGCCCTGGGCTCGCCCACGCGCCGCATTCCCTGCAGCTCAGTGCGTGCAGGTATTCCTGCGGGGGGCTGGTGCCGCGTGGACTGGCGAGAGGGAAGGCTGTCCTCCCGCGCCCTGCGGGAGCCTCAGCTCCCTGGTGGCGATGTCTGTGCAGGCTTTCGCCCCTCTGCCCCCTGCGCCGGGTGGAAGGGCCAGCGGCAACAGCCTTGGGCAGGAGACCACCCCTGGTGCTGAGCGGGCAGGGGCCCTGGGGGCAGGGCGGGCAGTGTCCAAACCCAGGCCTTGGGGGCGGCTCTCTGGGCCAGGAGACTGTTCGTTCCAGGCCCAGCAACCCAGTGACCTGGACTGACCCAGCCTCCCCTCCACCCACCAAAGACATTCTTTTGTTTAAAATGTAACCCTGAATTTTAAGTACCCAGTGCTGCTAGATAGAAAGACAGAAAGGACATTGAAACCATAGCGGTGCACCCACTGAGGTAAAGCCAGGGCATGGGGCACGGGGGGGGTGGGCTAGGCCCACATCCACCTGCCCCCTCCTAGTCCCCCCCCCCACCCCGGCTGTGGAGACCACAGTGAGCATGGGCGGGGCGGCGGGGGTGGGGCTGCTGGGTTTGCACGCGCTGATCTGAGTGAGGCCCGAACACTGTGTTGCAAGGACACACGCAGGACGGTGCCACTTACATAGAACGTGTAGAACACAGAGCACAGCCACAGAATTATCCACAGAACTGGTGTTTCCTACGCAGTAAGATTGCAAATGATGTGAATGGCCTCGGCTCAGCGTTTGCTCGGGGTCAGGGACTGGGACAGGGACCGGGACAGTGGCTTTAGTTGTATCTGGGTGTTTTCTTTCTCCGAAAAAGGGTTCTGGTGCAGCATTTACATTACGTGCCATTGTTCGTCCACTAGACTGTGGACACAGTTACTTCTTCCAGGCGCCTGTCCCTGACAGCGACAGCTCCGCGACTTGAGCTGGTTCGGGTTCAGGTCCATTTGACAAGGTGTGTGTGCGATTTATTCAGAGCCCTCCAAGGCACTCAGAAGTATCTCAGGTTTATAGCTCCGCCCCTCTGGAGCCTGTTGTGTGACTTAGCTCTGAGCTCACTGTCCTCAAAGCCCCCTGGCCGGTCCTTACACTGGTGTGCCCGCGGCCGAGACCTCGGGCTGCCCGTGGACCGTGCTGTCAGAACCGCCCGCTTCTCCCTTCTCCCTCCCGCTGCGTTTTTTTCCACTTCCGCTCCCTGCCCTAAATCTTGATCGGAGCAAACAGATACATTGGTGAGTATAATTAGGAATCCCAGGGCATCTTTGCGCCTTGGCTGTTGTTGCACTTCTGCCCTGCAGCAGGCAGCGGGGTCAGTGTGGGGGCCGCTGGAAGGGCTGGGTGTGTCCTTCCCCGCTCTGTCCCTCTGTGGGCTTGAACAAGGATCACTGCTGCGGGACCGGGGTGACAGGCAGCCCGTAGACCTCAGTGTGAGAGCGTTCTCGCGCCGGCGGAAGTGCTGAAGTAACTGGGGCTAACAGGCACGGCCTGTGTGTCCAACCTAGATTTCTACGTGCACATAAATACACCGTCTGAGGACCACGGGACTGATTTTTGTAAGGCAGACAGTTCTTCCAGCGTTAATTCAGGGGCGTGACAATTACGGAGTTTCAAATCATTTCTCACGAGTCCCTCCTGTTGACTGAAGTGCAAACACAGCGCAGGCTGGGCCCGGTCCTCCCGTCTCCCGGCTGCGGGCCGCAGCTCCCACGTGGGCGCCCGGGCAGCCCTGCCCGGCGCCCGGCCTCCGCAGGCGGCCCCCCAAGCCCTGCGTCTCCCGCCCCGGGCGCCCTGCCCCCAGCTCTTGGTGCTGCCCTGGGCCTCGCCGCATTTCCAAGAATTCCCCTGACAGCATGTTCTGCTCTCGGTTACTGTTGACTCGCTCTGCGTACTCAGTGTAAACCTGGCGGGATCGGGAGGGGTTTTGTAGCAGCCGGCCCCCCGCCCCCCCAGCACTGAACTCGTGGAGCTCCTGACCGGGAGTGCGGCCGCCTCGCGCCACGGTCGCAGGGCTGCTGCCTCGGGGGTGGGCTCCCTTTCCCGTGCGGCAGTCGGACACGCACGGGGGGGGGGGGGGCAAGAGGAGTCCGAGAGTGAAGGCCTTCTCGTGCACCGGACGGCTCCTTCTCACGTGTGCACCAGAGAGGCAGGAGAGCCCGCTAGTTGCTTCGTGCTCATACGTATCTGCGCTATACGTATTGACACGTGTTTATGCGTGTGCAGTGATGGAATCCTCCTCTAAGAAAAGACATCTGAAAACTGCCCGGTGGAGCAGTACACTGTGGTTCGGAAGCAGTGCTACAGTAACGCCCCTCCGCTGCCCTCCGGGCTGCCGCTGTGGGCGGGTGACCTGTCTGATACAGCAGCACCTGTTCAGCCGCCGCGTCTCTGGCGCCGCCGCCCACTCAGCGCGCACCCCCGGCCCCTCCCTGCCGGGGCCGGTCCTGGACCGGCACAGCCGGTCCAGCGGCACATCCTGCTCCCGCCTGACACCCAGCAGCTGGAAAGAGGGGGAGCCCCCGTAGCAGGTGGGCACGCCTGCCTGCGGGGTGTCTGTGGGGTGCGGGCATGGTCGCCGGCCCCCCACGCCGCGAACGGCCCCCACCCCAGGCGCAGAGGGGGAGAGAGGGCGCGGCCGTCCCACCTCCGGTGAGCATCTGCGAGCACTTGCAGACGCACTTGTCCTTGTCCGCGTCCTTGGTGCTGAAGTCGCTCCCCGGCTGGCTGATGCTGCTGATCTTGCCGGCCGTCCCCGAGAGCCCTCTAAGGTGAATCCTGCAGGCGTGCAAGGGGGAGAAAACACGGCGTTAGTGGGCGTGGGCCGCTGGCTTACCTTGGTGGAACATTTTTCTACAGAGCGTTCCGTTCCAGCGAAAGGCGCCCCGGGCTGCCCAGGGCGTGAGGCACACACACTCTGGACAAAATATGTTTGCGCTGGTATAAACAGGAACCAGCTTATCATCAGCCCCGTAGGCAGAGAGGACTGTTTTCGAGAAACCGTCACTGGCTGTCACTTGCACAGCACCAGCGGGGACTTCGGGGCACTGCGGTTTACTTTCCTGCGGCTGTGACATAAACAGGAAGGGGGGACCTCGGTGTGGGGAGGGGTCCTCTCTCCCGGTCCGCGGGGTCACCCGGAGAGAAGCGAGGGCCTCGGGGAGCCTGGACAGCCTCACACGCCGCTCTTTCCCGTGGGGGGTGGGGTGGGGAGGCCGGCAGGCACCAAGGAGCAACCACGGAGCCCGGACTACGGACCCCCCGAGTCAGGGCAGGAAGAAGCCCCTCCGGCTGCCTCGCCCGGCGTCTGCACAGCATTGTGACCGCCTGCCAGGCCCGGGGAGGGACCGGCGGTCCCGTCACATTAGGCACTGGCGGCGGCCCGCACCTCCCGAGGCGTCAGGCCTGCACGTCAGGCGTGCAGACGTTTAGCAGGCGTGGGCTGGGGTAGCGGGAGGGGGAGGAGCCGTGGCAACCCTCCCGTGGCGTCCCTGGGCGGGTGCGTGGAGTGTGGGGCCCGGGCGTCAGGTCCGCCCGTCCTGGGGCTCCCACGGAAACAAGCCCTCCAGTGTCAGAGGGAGACTCGGACCTCAGCCCCCGGACGACGCTCGCCTCTGGGACACCCGCCCCTTTGCCAGCCCCTTCCTTGGGAGAGGGCCGCACCCAAGATCTGGGGCGGGAACCGAGGGTGGAGGAGAGGGAGGCTGGCTGGGGCTGACCCTCGGCAGCTCCGCAGGCACACGCAGGGCGAGCACGCAGAGCCTGTTCCAGCCCGAGGGGCCGCGCTGCCCGTGTGTACTCACTCGTCAGACGGGTGAGTTCAGGGGCAGGAGCTCGGCCAAGTCCCCCCTGTGGGGGGGGCAGGTCCGCCCTCACCCCTCCGTCCTCCGTCGGGGTCCCACCTGGCAGACACCCTCGGGGTGACCGCTCACTGAGAAAGAGGTTCTGGAAGGTGGAGAGGGAGCCACCAGGGGGCGTCCCACGGAGTGCCGACCAGCCCCGGGGTCCCTCCGGGGTTAACGACTGAGACCTAGGGAGGCTCTCCTGGGGTCGCTCTGGGAACGCCAGCACCCAGCGTGGACTGAACCTCCGAACTTCAGAAGCATCCTCCTCGCGCTTCAGAAACGCCCCCGGCCCCCGCACAGCCCTGGCGCCCTGCTGCAAAGGGTCCCCCACGTGAGCGCTCCTGCAGTCAGGGCCTCAGAGGCTGTTTCCTTCCCGGCCCTTCTCGGGACTCCTGGGGCCTGTCGGGGCGGTCCCTCCCCCCACTCCCTCCTCCCGGCTCCTCCCGCCACCGCAGCTCTCTGGGGACTCAGTTTCCCCACGGTGGGCAAAACGAGGGGGATACCACTTCTCACGGGTCTCCGTGAGACTGCCGTGGGACCCGCTGGCTTCAGGCTGCTCTGGTAAAACGTGGTTGTTGCAAGCAGCCACGGTCTCGGAACTGCCGGGCCCTGGTGTCAGCCCCGTCGCAGGGTGGGGAGTGACGTCGGAGGTGAGGCGGGAAGGGGCCGGTTTTTAAAGTTTAATGTGCGAGTTGCCTTTAGTTTTAGTAGAAAGAGCCGTGCTCTGCTGACGTACTTCGCACTTGCCCAGCACAGGAGCCCAGCCGCTGTGCTCGGCGGACGTTCTGGGCCGTTGGTGGTTCCTCTGAGTTTCAGCCACGTTACGGTTCCCTTATCACAGTGGCGTGTTTTCTTGCCACAATATTTGTTCAATGTAGTGTCTGTCTTGTACTGCCAAGTGAGTGAAACCGAGCTTTAAACACACGTGCTTCGTGAAACGGCAGACCCCAACGCTGACTCACACTTCCAAAGGAAATATCTGAGAGCCGTCTCAGGTTAGAGTATTTTTATGACGTCGGCATGTAAGGGTCATGACCCACTTTGTAAAATCTTCGTCTATCAACAGTCTAATCCTTAATTTTTGTGTTTCTTTGTTGTTGTTTTTTTAATTCCTCTGTTGCAGTCTCCTAACCATTGCCAGTTGGAAAAACATGTAGCTTGGAGGTGAAACTGCGACCAGCACTTGGGTCCAAGCATTCCCCGTAGCAGCCATCTCTCCGGGGCATCCCCGGCGCTGCCTGGGGCCCGGACACCTGTCCCGTCGCCGTCCCCGTGTGGCCTCCCCGGGAGCCGTGCTCGTGGGGCAGCGAGACCGGGCGCTGGCCGACGCCCTGCAGCCCCGGGCCACGCCTGTGCATTCTGGTCCGCCCGCACAGGGCAGCCGTGCTGTGCCCTGCGGTTCCCGGGGGCTGCCCGCCGGGGGGGCCTCAGCTGTTTCCTGTGCTGTCACCGTGCCCTCCCCCCGGGGGAACCCAGGACCGGATCTGGAACTGGCGTTTGTGCCCGCACGGCACGGCTCGGGTCCTCTGCGGAGCAGCGGGCCCCAGGTGGGCCCCCGCGAGTCGCAGGTGGGCCGGCAGGCCAGGTGGCGGCCGTCTCCTGTGACGTTCGAGGGCACTTGGTCTGTTTCTGACCTCCCGGGAGGTGCTCGCGGTCAGCACGCAGCACTGGCCTGCTCCTCGGATGCCTGCGGGGCTCGCTGGGGGCCGGACCCGGGCGCGGGGCCCTCTCAGAGCGGCTCCTGGCGTGCCTCCGCCGGCCCCATCCCCCCCCGCCCCCCCTCCCACACCCGCGGTGCTGCCGCGCCCGCCAGAGCCTCTTCCGTGCGGGCCTCGCCCCGCAGCTGCGGACGACCGAGGCGCAGGCTCTCGGGCCCTTCCCCGCTCCGTCGCTACCGCCGCGGCGTTTCAGGGCCAGGAAGCAAATTCCGGCCCAGGCGGCCCCTGCCTTCCCCGGAACAGTCGCGACTAGCGCCACCAGCTGGTGGGCAGGGTGAACGGTAGCGCGTGCCGTGGGGGGCGGCCGCGGTGAAGTCCCCGCCGCCCAACCCTCCCCCAAACCTCCCACCGAACCCGCCACTCAAACCGGACAGCTCAGCCTGACGCTGGGGTGGGACGTAACAGTCGCGGGTATTTAAGCCGCAAATAGATGGATCTAACTGTTAAAACCTTTTGGGGGGAAAACAAGGTAGGCGCGTGTGTGTGGTGCTTCTGTCCTGACATTGTATAACGCGGAGCTGTGGGCCCGTCACCTGCCGGGCTGCGTTCGCCTGCGCTCTGAGGGTGCGGCGCACGCGCACAGCGGGCACGGTGCTGCCCCCGAGGGGCCCCTTGTGTCCTTAAAACCAAAGGCAGGCTTTCCAAACCGGAGACACGGACCCCAAGGCCGCAACGAACAAGGGGCGTTCCGGCGTTGCGCGGGGCGCCCTCCCCGGCGCGGCGCCCCCTACCTGTAGTTGAGGTCCTCGCCGGAGAGGAAGAAGTGCTCGTACAGCGCGTAGGCCTCGCCGCCCTCCCAGTCCGCCAGGCGGATGCGCAGCGCGTAGCGCCTCTGGTTGGTCAGCTGCGACACGAACTCGTTCCCCAGCCAGTACTCGCCCGCGGGGTTCCCGAAGCCCTGCGGACCCGAGGGTGAGGGTGAGGTTCAGCCGCCTCGCCTGCTTTTCTCCGTGGCCACCAGCCAGCACGGGGTGCTGTCAGACACTCCGCGGAAATCCTCTCCTGCCCCGTGGAAACTGGGGCCCTCCAGGTGGGAATGCAGACTGATCTGAACGGGCCAGTTTTACGAAACCCAGCCGTTCCTCGGAGAGAACTAGCGCTAGACAAGTTAGAACGACTTGGGGAAGCCCACCCCCACCCCCCGCAGACATGCGAGCACAGACGGCTCAGGGTACAGGCGGGTGACGCCCCACGGAGCAGTCGGCCTTCCAAAGCTGCCCCCCCCCGGGGGCTCCCACGCCTTCCCCTGGAGACACAGGGGGCGCTCCATTGGCAGGACCACCCTTTACCGGGAGACTGACACCCGGTCACAAAGAACCCTTGAGTTAAAAAAAACAGTCATGATTCATCGGTGGTTTTGAATTTGTGGGGAAGGTTCTGCAGATCCTGAAAGTTCCTTTTCACACACACAAATCATTTTCAGATGGTCTAATAAACGTTCTCACCACTTTGTACTCCTTCCAAGTCCTCTGGAAATCCACACTGCCGTCCTCGCGCCGCTGAATGACCGTCCACCCCCCGCCGGCCGTCTCCATGTCGCAGTGGGCCTGCCAACGAGAAGGGCACCGTCACGGCGTGTGGGCTCGGGGGCGCAGCTCTGCGTGCCTCGCGGGGGAAGCGGGAGGGACTCGGAGACCCCTGAACAAGACCTGTGCTCACGGGGGCCTTCGGGGTGGACCTCTGTGGTCCTCCCAGACACGGAGGGTTTTAAATACGCCGAAAACCGAGGTTCTAAAACGACGATGGGAAACACACAGCGATGTAACGCAGTGCAGTGGTGGGAGTGGGACGTCCTTGTCATCGCCTGCTCCAGGCCAAAGACCCACCGCGGAGCTGACTCAGAGGCCCCCCCCCCCCCCCGTCCCGCTGGGCAGACGGGCCAGCCTCTCACCGCCACCCACAGGACAGCCGGGACTTGCGCTCGCGTCCCCGAGACCCCTCGGCAGAGCCGGCCGGCACTCAGGAGGGCCGGCAGTGTGCCACCGCTGCAGCGGCGCTGCCAGAGGCGCACCTCGCCACGCGGGGTTTCCCAGGCTCCCGTTGCTCCCTCTGTGTGGGACACACCCCAGGCGTCTCGGCCCGTCCTCACTCCGAGGGACCGTGTCCCCGCTGCGGCCTGAGCGTGGCCTGGCAGCTCTGCCCACAGAGCCCGCTTCGGGCGTCCCTGCCCTTGGCCCCCTGCCCACTCCTCCCAGCTCCGGACTTCGGCTTTCGGGCTGGCTGGGTGGGTGCAGACCGGGTTCGGGACCCAGAATTCTTTCCTGGGCTGCGAGCACGCACGCTCAATTTCAGCTCAGCTGGAGGTTCGTTCTGAAATCAAAAGCCCTGAAAGCAAGATTGCATAAATAGCTTTAAATAATGAGATTACAGCAGAACGAAGATGGTTTCCAGCCAGCGGAGATTGATTTCCCCACGGCACACCGGGTCGCACACGGGAACGCTAAGGTTCAGAGCCAATTGGAGCGCGGCTTCCTTTGTTGACCGCCACGGTCTTTTCGGTAGGCGTGGCGGACACACAGGCAGCGTGAGCCGAGACCGGAATTGCCCCCCGTGACTTAGTCCTGGTGTGTATGGGGGGGGAGCCTGGACCCGCTCCTGCACTCGAAGGGCCGGCCTGCCGCCTCGCCGCACCCGGGGGGCGGGGACGCGGCGAGCACCTGGCCCCCCTGCGCCCCACTGCCGCGAGGGCCGCGACTGCTCCGCCCGTGACCCTTGTGTTAGGAAACAAGTTTCCTCGCGAGGAAAGTTGCCTTTTATGAAGGATAAAGCACTTCCCCGTCTCGGATGGCTCAGACCCACGGCACCCACCTGTTGAAGGTGCCCCTGCCCACCCTGCGTCACAGCAGCACCGCGGTGGGTGGGTGGGCAGGGGTCCAGCCGCCCTGTGTGAGGCTCCTGGCGCCCTTTACCGAACCCCGCGGCGGGCTGCGGTGGTGGGTGCTGCTGCGTTTCTGAGGGCAGCGGACCTGTGGAGTCCAGTTAGATGGACGACGCAGTCTCCCTCATGCCCACCCACGTGCGTCTTTTCCACTAGACCCCACGGACAGAGAGGGAAGCTGGACCCTCGGGTCACGGGCCAGAAGGCCCTCAGCACAGCCCCGGGCTGCGGTCAGCTCACAGACGACCCTCCTCTCCTTTGCCTGCGGTCCCCAAAACGGTCGGTCCCGCTCACGTCCGTCAGTACATCCGTCAGAATCCCTACTTGGCGCACGGCCTGCGTGTGCGGCGGCGGCCCTCCCCCGCACCCGGAGCCTTGCTCCTCGGGGGGCAGAGCTGGCCTGGCCCCTGCCGTGTCCGCCCTGGTTCCGAGGACGCGTGCCCCTCGGACACCGGAGTCGCCATGCTCACGTTGGGGAGCCAGCCCGCCCGCCCGCCGTGGGCAGTGGGGTGAAGGCGCTGGGGCGGCCGAGGTCGTCTGCTGGTGCGCGAGCGACGGGGCGAACTGCTCCAGGACTCCACCGTTAGAGCGCTTTCTCAACATGGCTCTGTCCGGACTCAAAGGAGGAAGAGAGAAAAACAGCGCCTGCGAACTCCGAAGTCCAGAGTGTTACAGTTCATTGGGTCCTGGAACTTCCAGAGAGAGGTGTCCTCGTGGCCAGGGGCACTGGGTGACAGTGACGAAGCAGATGACACCAGGCTGGGCAAAGCCGAAGTCCACAGGGGGTGCCCGGGGCCCACACCGGCGCCAGCAGCCCCGGGCAGCGGCACTTGGGGTCAGCGCACAAGCACGCGAGCGGGGCCCTGGGAGCTCGCCCTCGCTCTGAGGCTCGGCTTCAGGGCTGAGCTTCAGCCCCGAGGCCGCGGTGGTCGCACAGCCAACGCAAGCAGGCGGATAAACGTTGGGAGGCAGGTGCCCCGTGAAATGAGGGAAGGAGACCACCGTGTCTCTGCCTGGCAGCTGCACGCGAGCACTGCCCACAGACGCCGTCTCGCTGTGTCCGTCCTGCACAAGAACCTGATGAGGTTTTCAAAAATGAGGTTGAACTATTGAGGCCCTCTTGGGAAAGCTCTCCCCAGAGTCTGCGGATGCTCTCCCCTCCTGAGGTGGCTGAGTCAGGGCAGCGTGGGGCCCCCTGCCTCGGGGAGCCGGCGTCCTCTCCTCCTGTGAGCGGGCAGTCGCAGTGGTAGCAACGGAGCGGTGGTGAGTGCCCAGTCCCAACCTCGGGGGCTGCGCTCCCCTGTCACCTCGACTCCGCGCTGCAGGGCTGGGGGGTCGGGTCGCGTCACAGAGGAGGCAGCTCAGGGCTCGCACAGCGCACACGGCTCGCTCTGAGGCACTGATGGGCGGAGCCGGAACCCCCCGGAATCCCCAGCCAAACGAGGCGACTCGCTGTCCCCGCATCCGGTGGGGAAGTACGGTCTCACGTCTGGAGGGGAACCTGGGCAACTGAATCCGGGCCCTTTACTTAGCGGTGAGGAGGTCAAGCCGCGACAGGCTGCTGCTTCCTGCCGTGTGTGCGAGTTACCGTTGTTCCTGCAGACTCTCGAAAGGGACATGGGTCCTGATGCCTCCAGAGGTGACCGGAGACCCCCGCCATCCCCAAGACCTGCATGGCTCCTCCTCCTGCAGGACATCTCCGGGGGCTGCTGGCGGGGTCTCCTGCACCAGGCGGGAACTCAGGACCGAGCAGAACTCGAACACAGCAGCAGGGGGCGACTGTGCGTCTGGGTTTCTACCAGGAGCGGTCACACTCTGCTCGCACCCTCTGCCCCTCCCCCCAGCGCTCCTGTCCCATTATCTCTGTGCGGAGCAGAGCCCACCTCCTGGTGACAGAAGGGAGCACCCCAAGACCCGGCTGGACAGCCAGACTGCAGAGGGGGCGGAAGGCTCGGCCCAGAGCCCGTCCACCACTTGTCACCTGCGGCGGGCTGTTCGGGGTTTTGCCCTCCCCCAGTACAGGCCTCTGGGGCACCAGGGACATTCACCGATTTCCAGGGTTGACTTAACGCAGAGTGAGCGAGTTAGGTTTCTTTGGAAAGGGTTGTCTTCGCTGACACAATATTTGTCTTCTAAACTCGTAGCCGAGGTCCGTGTCACTGTTTCAAACCCAGGGTCTTGAAACCCTTCATGCTTATGCTTTCAAAGGGGTTTTCTTTGTCACTGCGCTGCGGGGGATAGCACTGAAGCGGAGAGGCAGTACTTCCAGGGGCCTCCAAGATTTCCGTTTTTGATACAGTATCGAGCGCCTTTTCCGCACGTGTTTCCATTCCGTTCGGTGCGTAGCTGCTTCTGCAGTGCCCTTCGCTGAGTGCAGTCACCCAGCATTTATAGAACCGGTTCTCTCCCAGTGTTCTTCCGGCTTCTGGAACCTCTAAGACAGACCATGCTGAAACATCCCCTAAGGAGCGATTTCAGTCCCCTCCAAGGCGCACCGTGCCCCGACCAGTCCAGACTAAGGGCGGAGCCACCGGCGTCCCCAGGGGGAGCTGGACGCCCGCTGCCCCCACGCAGCCTCCGTTTGTTGGGTCACTCCACGCAGCCCTAGGCGGGGGTGTGCCCTGGAGTCCGCGCGCGTCCTGGCGGAGAAAATGCTCTGCCCTTGCTGGTGTGTGTGCGTCCCCGCCCACAGCGACCACGGAGAGAGAGCAGCCCCACCCCGTGGTCCTGGGGCCGCAGTCCGCGGGCTCCTGCGGGTCCCTAGACTCAGGTCCCTGGCAGCAAGTCCACGAGGTCAGCCCCGTTTCCATCGTGACACTACGTGGTCTCCTGGCCTTGCCCACCGTATTGGTGCTTGCTCACTGGGTGCACAAGCACGGGCGTGTGAACCTGCTGTGCCCAGTGAGACTCGGACTGCCCTGGCCCCGCTGCGTTCTTGTCACACGCGCGCACTCGGGCTGCCTCTGACGCAGCAGTCAGCAAGGTTTGGTTAACCCCGAGCTGCGGGGTGCACCCCTTTCCGTATGTATCTGTGTGCTGGCGGGAGGGGCCGGAGCTGCCAGCTCAGTGAGCGATTGGGGTGGGGGGTGTTGGAAGATATTTTCTTTAAACTTCACGAAAGAGTCTCACACCGCACGGGGGACAGCTGGCGGCGTGCACGCCCAGGCCCAGGCGTCTGTGACGGGGCTGGTGGGAGCGCGCGCCACCGTGGGCCTCGAGCTCCTCCGCCTGTGTCCCCGCAGAGCGGGGCCTGGGTCCCGGCTGGCCCTGCGCGCACGTGCAGCGGGCGGATCGGGCCCAGCGACCGCAGCACAACCCCGCAGGGGGACCCGGGGCAGCCCCTTACCTTGACCTCCTCCGTGGAGTTGGGGAAGGTCAGCGTGTAGACCCCGCTGCTGGTGCGGCCAGCTTTGAACGCGTCCGCGCAGTCTCTGAAGACGGTCTGTTTTCCCTTAGCCGCGGCGGCGTTCTTGGCTGCTTGGGAAGACAGAAGAGCGTTTGCATGGGGTTCGTGGAAGGAGGAGAGGTAAGGGTTTCGACGTGCGCTCCTTTGGGAAGTTTTATTGCATTTGAATTCTTACAGCAAGTCGAAGGGATATGTCACTTTTTTACCCTTTCCAAAGAAGTTACTCTTCCCGCCTGCTTTGTACGAACTCTCAGCGACTGTGACCCTCGGTGCTTACCTCCTCCTCGACCTACACGGGATGCAACACTTCACAGCCCGCCGTGATAAACGGCTGCTTTCTAAAGCCTTCCGGCGGGAGCAGACCCAGGCGAGGTGGCCGCGGGGGAAGGAGACCGCACAGGCCGCACCCAGCGGTGTGCGCAGGGGGCTGCGTGGTGGTGCTCGCGCTCTCGCACACCCGAGGCCGCGCCCGCGCACGGCCCTTCAGACTCCCGGCTTGAGACGTTTAGAGGTCTTTGGGTTTTTAGCAACCGTCTCTTAATAGTTTGCATTGAAGGGGAACCTAACGTGCATCTAGGTACGCCTTCGCAATTCTTCATCTGAGTCTGAAAACTCCAGGGCTGTGAAATTCTTTCAGGCTTCCCAGTCTTTTCTCTCGTCGTGTTAAAAATAGTGTGTGTGTGTGTGTGTGTGTGTGTGCGCACATGCCCTGGCAGGTGTTGACCTGTGTGTCCTCACAGAGGCCCCCTGCGCATGGCGCCTGGCCCGGCTGCCGCGGGCCCCATGGGGGACCTTTCTGGGCTCGCGTCTCCCACCAGGCTGCGGGCCGCGTGGCTCCCTGGGCTGTGGCTCCTGGAAGCCGACACCTCGCCGCACTGTCCCAGTCCTGCCGCACAACGTCAGGTCCCTGTTCCTGCTCTACGCAGGCTCAGAAAGAGCCCTTTTTCTGCGTCGTAAGACTTGGGGCCTCTCGTCGGAGGGCACGGCTGCACCCGGCCAGCCCGGCGGGAGCCGGCCGGCCTGCCCGGCATCAGCGGGCCGGGCTGCAGTTGTGAGCGTGTGCTCCCTCGGCTGGTAGGGGCCCTGCCTGCGGGTTCCTGTGGGGGCGGGAGCAGCTGCACAGCTCGGGGACGCCTGAGAACACGGTTCTTAGGGAACGACGAGTGTTTCTCGGCGAGATTCTTGTGTGAAGTGCGTCTGTGTCCGAGAATCCCAGTTGAACAGCCGGTACGAGATAAACCAGAGTAGGAACCACACCCCGTTTGTCCAAGAAAGAACTTAAAAACGCCACAGCGGTGGTGTGTCACACCTCTGAGGAGCGACTGGACAGGCGGCCCTCGTCCCTCCAGTGCAAGAAGAGTGGAAGGTGAAAGGGCACCGCAGAGGTCAGAGGGCACGGGAGGGTGCGCTGGGGAGGGGCGCAGCCCTCTGCCAGGCACTGCGAGTGTTAGCTCCTTGGAACAAAATCGGGCGGGTCCACGGTTGTTTCCCCGCGGAACACAGCACTAACTTGCCTGGCCCCGGGTCTCGTGAGTGACGGGATTGACTCACTTAGGGCTCTTGGACGCCCGGGCGTCAAAACTGTGTCTGGGGTGTTTCCCTCCGTCATGATCCGTCTGAGTAAATAAATATGTCCCCCTTACTTCCACTTTCTCCTTCTTCACTGGTTCTACGCTGAGACCCTGTGAAGCTCTCACAGCCAACAGGTAAGACAAGTAGGGCCTGTTTCTGAAGGGGAGGATTTCTCAGGGCTTGGAGACTCGCACTGAAACTGAGTTTAAGGCGGCACGAAAACCCAGTAAGGGGGCGCGAGCGCGTCACTCACAGCCTGGCGTGGACATCATGGTCAGCAGGCCATGCACCGTCTCCATCAGGTCGTGCTGCTGCTTCTGCAGGGCCGAGTTGTTGGCCGTCGCCGTCACCAGCTGCTTCTCCAGCTCCTCGATGACGGAGTTCTGCTTGGACACCAGCACCTGCAGCTGGTCCTTCTCCTCCCGGATGGACTGCAGCTGGACCACGTGCTTGTCCTCCATGTCCAGCACCTTCTTTTCCAGGAGGCTGGGGAGGGGGAAGCGAGGTGGTCAAGGCCAGGGCCTCGGAAACAGCTCGCCCGCCTCCTGCCGCCTGTGCGGTCAGTCGTGGTTTGCGCCAGCGCTGACAGATGCTGTCAGACGCCCGCCCGGCGGGGGCTCGCACGCCTCCCCCGGCCCGTCGGTCACTGTGAATCAGGACGACCGACCGGGCCCCCGTGAGCACCCCCGTCCCTGGGTCGTCAGCCACCAGGACGCGGCCGTCCGCACCCGGCTGGCGTCAGCGACACCACGTCCGCCTTCGCCACTTCTGAACGTTTTCCGGGATATTGGCTGCGTGTCGATTTGTGTGTCTCCTGCATCACCTTGAAAACCAAGGGGACCGCAGCAGGAGAAGGGGACCTGAGAAGGGGCGCAGGGAGCGCTGGCGTCCTGCCTGAGGTCGTCCAGCACCTTTGGGTTCAGGCCCTCGCTTCGGAAACCCTCCCGCCGCGCCCGACCTGCACCGGCACCGGAGAGATGCGGTGCCTGGCTCCCCTCCGCCGCCTTCACAGCGACCTTGCCTCCTGTCGCCGGTGACTCTCTATGGGGGGGCCGGACAGGCGGGGCGGTCGTGCGGCCCCGCGCGTGCTCGAGCGCGCGAAAGCTCGGGGGTGAGTGTGTCTTCAGGGGACTTCCGTTCACCCCTACCCGGACGATGCAAGCACGGCTGCCGCGGGCGGCCGCGTCCTGACCAGAAAGAGTCCGTCGTGCATGCGAGTCAGGCCCAGGCCAGGCCCGCCCGGACCAGGCAGGCTCTGCCAGGACGCCACGTGGTGCCCGCAGAGGCACAGGCCACAGGAGTGCAGCCCCAGGGAGCCCCGGGTCCCGCTCCTGAGCAACGGCTCGCAACACACGCCGGGACCCGTCGCTGGTCGTGAGGCCAGTCGAGTTTTTCTAATGCCAGGAAATCAAACCCAGTCCAGTCGGCCCCTGAACGACCCGGATTTGAACTGCGGGTCCAGCTGCGTGCGGGCTTTTCCCCAATGACCCCTGCACCGCTTTCCATCTGTGTCCGAGTGAGGGTGCGGGGGGCCGGCCGTGCGCCTCAGCACGCTGTTCTGCACACGACACTAGTGTCCACAGGTTCTGGTGCCTGGCGGGGCGTGGGCTCCCGGAGCTGACCCCTGGTCGACTCAGAGGGGCGTTAAGTTTGGGGGGGAGGCAGATGTCTTGTGGGGGTCTTCGACAGCATGGGGTTCGGGGTCTCTAACCCCCGTGCTGTGTCAAAGGTCAAGTGTACGTGGGATGAAACAGCTGAGAACAGCGTGCGATCTCACAGCGAGAACTTGCAATGCTGCCACGAACAGCACGGTGCCTGGTGCGAGGTGCTGGGGGGAAGGGCGGGCAGGTGTGGCTCGGCCACTGCGGGCCGCGCCTCCAGGCAGACATTTGCCGACCAGGATGGAGTGCGACACGGAGGGCTGTGCAGGCCCCCTGTGCACTGGTTCAGGCTCTTCCTCCCCCCCCCCGCCCCCCCCACCCCAGAGCCCCTGACCCCTGTGACGTTTTCAATGAAGAAACTCAGCATTTTGGAAGAGTGAGTGTAATTAATAGTCACACAAAACAGTCCCGTGTATCTAGAAAGCATGCAATTATAAATTGTTTTATACTTTTATTACCTGTTCTTATCTTGCAATTTGTTTATTTCACTGGTCTGATCCAAAATCTGTTTTTCCAATTTGTTTGTGGAGAGGGAATGTTCCAGAAGCTGAAGTTCGAGTCTCGTTGTCTGATTTAACACCTAAATGCAACAAAACAAAATTCCCGGTCACCATTTTTTAAATCAGACAGAACTTCCTTTTCACTGCGCTACCTGGACCACAGGAAAACGTAACTGAGGCACTTTGCATTTGCCCAGTCTCTCCCTCGGGCGTGTTTCTCGTTATCGGGAAACTCTCCATTTCGGTTTGCATCCAGGTCTTTACTGTGGAAAGAGCTCACTGGTTCTGGACAGCGGTAGTTGGGTCGAAGGATGTAATGTCATTTTCCTCGTCCTGCCACGTGCGGCCAGGTCACAGAGTGAGACCGGCGGGGTGTGGAGCGGTCACACCAACGAGCCGGAAGTGGCTGGTAAACGGAGAGAGGCCCAGCCCGGGCCCAGCACACAGGGCCACGCCCCCGCGGGCCAGCTGGCCGGCGGACGCGTGGTCAGAGCCTCAGGCTCCCGTGCCCGCGTTTCCTGGTCACTTGCAGTGGCCTCTCTTCCTCGTTCCTTCTCCTGGTCCTAAAAGTCGTGTCCAGCCGGGACGCAGTGACGTGCCTGTCCGACGCGGGAGCTCGGGGTGACCTAGGGGGCCTGTCCGGCCTGTGCCCCCGCAGGGCTGCTGCCCCGTGCGCTCCCGCAGCTTCCGGGCGAATTCCTGCGCGCTGGGCGGCCTTCCAGCAGGAGGAAGCCCTCCTCGCACCCCCGGGTCGGGGGTCTCAGGACGTGGAGTCACCGGGAAGTGCAGGCAGGGCTGCTGCCCAGGGCAGGGTCCGTGCGAGAAGCATTGTTTGCTCGGGGTGTGTGTCACTCGCCGGAGGGCTGGCCCGGCCCCCGCACAGCTTAGGGACAGTCCGGTGCAGAGCCGCAGTGCCCACCCTGCGCTGGCACCCAGGGCGCTGCTCTGTGAGTGACTCACGGGTTGGCCCCCAGCGGGGCGGGCTTCCCGTGGCAGCCGGGGTGCTCCGCCTTCATCGCGGGGGGGGGGGGGGGGCCGGCACACCCTGCGCCACTTCCTGCTGACGGGGCTGGGAGGTCGGGTCTCTCCTGCAACTCGAACAGCTGCGATAGGAGTGGGGGGGGGGACAAGTGGGTCCCGGCTGACTCAGCACCCCCGAGGTGCTGACCAAGGCTTCGGCAGGCCTCCACCGCAGCGGGCCGTCCACATTCCCGTGGTCTCTCACGTGGCGGCCTCCAGCCACCCCTCGCCGTCCAGAGGGGCCGTCTGTGAGAGGCTGGCAGAGTCGTGCTTCGTGCGGAAACTTGCACGTTCGCACTGAACCCGCTTCACGCAGCAACCGCTCCGCAGATGCTCCGGGGGGGGTGCTCCGAGGAGGGGGCTCCGCAGCCCGGGGCCCGGCATCGGGCTCGTCCGCGTCCTCACTCGCCGGGGGACACAGCGGCAGGCTGGTCTCTCCAGCCATCGCCCAGTGCGCCTGGCGTCCTGGGCCGCAGGGTGTGCGGTTTCACGGGGTCTTTAAAACTCGCGGACCCAACTGGAAACAGCTTGTGGGAGCCGGCAAGTGTGACCCAGACGGGGTGCATGGAGGCCTGGCCCCTGGCCCCGGCACTCTGGACCGCCGCCGCCGCCGCCGCCGCCGCACACCCAGGAGCTGGGCTTCCGCCGGCCCCCCGCTCCCGCGCCCAGAAGGGGGCCAGTGCGACTTCGTGGTTCCTGACTCGTCCTCAGAAGAGCCTGTGGGCGCGCTGGTGCTTTCACTGTCAAGTGCTTCTATGTTTTCCTCCCTGGTTTTTATCGCATCTTGGGTTACAGTTTATATATACTTTCATTCCCGGCTTTCATCACCTCTTTGTCGTCCGCCGTGTAAAACATTTACGTTGTTCCTAGGCTGCTCTGATGGTGTGGAAAGATCCGGTAGGCAGACGCCTTTTCACTCTGGCCTCGGATGAAAATACCGTTGGCTTCCCCCGCCTCGCCGCTGTTTTCCCTGCCTCGTCCGGCGACCCTCGGGGCGGCAGTGGGGCGCTGGTCCCCGCTGCCCCTGGCGCCCGTCTGGCCTGCCTTGGTGCTCGTGGCCGCAGCGGCGAGCCGGAGCCCTGTGCCGGGCGACCCTTCACGGTCCTGGGCGGAAGCCGGACGGCACCGCCAGGGAGGGCGCTCGCAGGAGGAGCGCCCCCATGACGCCTGCCGGCCGCTCCCGGCTCTGCTCAGTCACCGGCGTGTCCTTCGGCAGGACGCTGCGAGCCTCGTCTCGGTGTTCCGCAGTGACTCTCGTATTTTGCTATTTCATGGCCTTCTTCTTGGCTGCAGTGAACCATTGGCTCACAGCACCTGAAAGCTAAGGGGGAACCTCACTGGCGGCCGTGTGGCCCTGCCCTCGCTGGCAGCACCCGGCTGGGGCCTCCTGGGCACAGCCCTCCAGCCCAGGGGGCACGGGCGCCACCGCAGCGTCCCGCGCTCGGCCACGAGGGGGCGCTCTGTGCAGCGTGCCGCTTCCTGCCACCGTGTCCACCTGCTCCGCCCTCTGGTCCTTCGGTGACTGTAAGGACTCACAGGACGAGTCGCGTGAGCTCCCGCCACGGACTGTGTAAACTCACGCCACCCCTGGTTTCGCCGGCTCCCGGAGATCCGGGCTCTGTCTTAACTAAGGAGGGAGACTGAAGGCCGGAGATTCCGGCCCTCTGCCTCGGGGCTTGTCCTTTCTCAGCGCGTCAGAAAGTGGCCCTCGCACTGAAGAGAGCGTGTCCCGAGTCCAGAAAGCGCCGGGGGGGCAGGGCAGCACTTAACCTGCAGTCACGAGTGTGAGGACTGTGCAGACGACGGAGTGTCCTTAATAAAGTAAATGTAATGTGACCTCAGCACCAACAGTGCAAACTATTTACCGATCAGTCACAAGGCCTCAAATTCATATCAATCCCCCTTTTCCTGCTAAGCCCGACCGCCCTTTCCTTTTCCACGGCTTCCTCTAGTCCCCACGCGGCGCGACTCCGTGCCAGCGTGGACCAGCCGGACCGCGGGGGTCCTCTGTTCCCTCACTTACCTGGGCCTCCACGTCGGTCAGCTTCCGCGTCTGCTCCGCCGTCTGGTTGAGCAGGTTCGTCCCTATTTCGATCATCACCGCCGTCTGGTTCTGCACCGCGTTCTGCTGCATCTCCGCCATCTCCTTCTTCATGCTGTCCTGGATGTAGCTCTCCAGCTGCAACACACATGCGTCGGACACGCACACGCGTCAGGGCGGCAGCCGCGAGTCGGACTCGGAGCTCTCCCCCCCAAGCACATGCCCCGCCGTTGACCAGCCTGGGGTGACCTGGGGCTGGCTCTGGGTTTGAAACTTTGCTGGGCTCTGTTTTAAATGACTAGGAATGAAACACAGCGTGACTTTATCTAACTCAGAATCGGGCAGCCTTGCGACCTGGTGCGTAGCAGACGGACTGGGAGTGCGCGCGGGGGCCGGGGCGAGGTGCGTCTGGAGGCGGGCGGACGGGCGGCGGGGCCGTCCCGTTACACCACCCCCCCTGCCCCGCCGTAGCTCTGCCCCTGGTCTGCAGGGGATAAGAACGTGCTTCTCGGCGGCGTCCCTGTTCCGCCACCATCTAGACTTGGTTCTCAAAGCGCGGACCTCGGAAGACGGTGCGCGGCGCAGGCTCACCTGCGGAGTCGCCCGTACAGGTGCGCGTCACCCCCAGCTCCTCCTCGGGCAGGCCCCGCCCCCCGGCGCCCCGCCCTCTGACCGAGTCCAGCACGCGAGAGACCTGGTAACGTTTTCCCCGCGTGTGCGCATTTGTCGGGGGTTCGTCAGTTCGGTGTCCGTTTCAGTCCCACGCCAGCACCGCCACCAGTTCATGGGCCGGTCGGGACCGGTTCCTCTCGCCCGAGGCCCCGGGGCCCACGGGCACGCGGGCTCCCTGTGGCGTGAGCGCGAGCGTGGAGCGGCTGACTGCACCCCCGCTGGCCCAGTGCCCGTCCCACTGGCGTCAGGTGATGCAGCTCACTGCCCACGCAGGGCCGGGGGCGGGGGGCGGGGGGCAGGCGGGCGGGCTGCAGGCCAGGCCCGCTCCCTACTTCCAGCCTTTGACCCCACGTGGGTCGCTCACCTTTGCGGGGCCTCCAGGGCCCTCCTGGATGAAACAGAGTTCCTGATTGGTCAGAGGGCTGTTTCTACATTGACACTCAGTATTATTTCCTGTTAGTGTCCATGCGCAGCACAGCGGTCAGACACCTCTGTGATCACAGAGGGAGCCCCGAGTCCGGTGCCCGCCTGAGGCGGTACAGCTCTCCCGGCGTCACGGGCTGCGCTCCCCGCGCCGGGCCTCTCATCCCGGACCGGTCTGCAGGGACTTCCAGTCTGGGCTGCTCCGCCCCGCCCCTTTCCGCCCCGCCCCCTAGCACTCCGCCCCGCCCCTTTCCGCCCCGCCCCCAACACTCCGCCCCGCCCCCTAACAACCCCGCCCCCTCGGCACCCTTCCCCGGCCTGCCCTTGGTGACTCTGTTTCCGCGCCGTGTGCCTGTTCGTTTTGTGCCACGCGTCGGTGGAGTCGCGTGGCACTTGTCCCTGCCCGCCTGACTGCAGGCTGTCGGGGGAGGCGCCCCGGAGGTCCGCCCGCGCCGCTGCAGACGGCGAGATTCCGCTCCTTTCGCGGCCGCGGGCTGTTCCCTCGTGTGGATGCGCCACGTTTTGATCTGCTCGGGTGTCCGGGGACGCTGCGCCGCTTCCGTGTAATTAGGCTGTGTGTGTATTGTTACTCCTTTCATCCTCACTCGGGAATACATTTGTTGACTTGGGAGAGAAAGGGGCAGAGAGCGAGAAACACCCACGTGAACAAGGGTCCTCTGTGGGTTGCCTCTGGGTCGCGCCCAGCCGGGGGTGACACCCGCGGCCGTTCGGCGCACGGGACAGCGCTCCCCGCTGCCGCCGACCCACCGGCGAGCCGCCGGGCCGGGGCCGGGGCCTGGGGCCGGGGCTCCGCGGGCCGCGTTCGTGACATCGTCGCGCGTGCATCGCCTGGGGTGCTTGGAATCCTGCTGCTGTGTTTCTTCCCCGCGTCCTGTCACGGTCCGGTGACGGGGCCGCGGCTCCAGCCGCTGGTCCAGAATGTGAGACGAGGACCGGAACCCTATTTCTCCTTCTTTGTCGCATAGTTCTAGCTCGAATGTCTTTATGAACCCGAGTGATTAGCAGTCGGTCGCAACGCTGCCTGCAGGGCCGTTCTTCAGACGGCGGGGAAGCCCTCCACGGCGCCCGCCGTCAGCGGGCGGAGCCCTGCCCCGTGGGCGCGGCCCTGCGGAGGCCGGAGCGAGGGCGCGCGGCGCGTCTCCCGCGGCCCAGGGTCGCCGGTGTTGGCACGCTTTGCGCTCTGTGTCTCTGGCCGTGCGCAGGGCCTCCGGGTTCGCGGCGGAGCTGTAAGTGTCCGGCTCCTGGGGCTGGCGGGCCGCGGGCCCCGCCCCACGCCCACGCGTTTCCCATCTCCCCGCGCCAGGGGGTCTGGCCCCCCCTGGTTCTCCCGTGGCCGTTGGGCAGGAAGCCCGACACCTGCTGGAGCTCCCAGTCTTCGTCCAGCCTGGTCGTGGAGGCCTCTGCTCCTCGCGCCGCCCCTCCTCCTCCGTGAGAATCCGAGCCGCCCGGGCCAGGAGGAGCAGTCAGGTCCCCTCCCAGGCCGCCCCCGCCAGCTCTCTGCGGACTTCGGCCGCGTCCGTTAACCCTCCGTCGGCCGGCGGGCGCAGGCGCAGGCTCGTTAGTGGCCGTGTTCTCTCCGGAAGACGGAAATTCCTTCCCTCTTCCCTTCCCCTGTCGTTTAAGGATCGTGACTCGCGCGGTTTCAGGACCCCGTCTAGAAGAACTTGGATGCAGAGGCCTGTGACTCCTTCGGCTCGCCCCACCCACTCCCACTCCCATCCATCACCAGGGGAATAATGGAATCTGTGAGGTTAGAGCTAAAGCTGCGCAAGTCCTCCAGAGCAGTTATCTCAGTTACTCTTAACACCGAGCAAAAATAATATTTAGAAAGACTTATTCTGGGAAGTTGGGAGCCAGGACGGACAGATGCAAGCTGGAGCGTGGTTTAAGTCTCTGCTCCAAAGTGATGATTCACAGACGATCATAAATAAAAGCCGCCATCGTATCGATTTCAGTACTTAAGAGCAAAGAAAACTCTCTCTCCTGACACTCGGACGTGTGCGCCCAGAGGTGGGGGGGGATGCCGTGGTCCTTCCCCAGCCCCGGCTCCGGGACTGCAGGGTCGGACGTGTTTACAAACATGAGGAGACATGACAGGGCTGCTTATAACTTGCCATTTTGAAGTCATGGTCCAGTTTAAAATTAGACTCTGGAGCTTTAAAAGACATAAAAGACCCAATACATAAAAGTAAAATTTCTTGGTCTTATTGCTGTAACTTCTCCTGAGCCTGAGGACGATAGAATGCAAAGTGCTTTTGAAGTCACTACTTTCCAGCTTTTCGGGACGGCAGAGTGTGTGTGTGCAGTGTGTGGGGGGCGGGTTCACCTTACACTGAGGCGAATTACGGACGTGTGTGTACGCGTGGGGGGGTGTGCATGCATGCCGTGCACGCGGTGTACGTGTGCAGTCCCCCGTACAGTCTGTGCAGCAGAACGCCGGGAAATTCAGCGTGGCGAGTGCGACCCGTGTGCTGAGAGATCGGAGTTTTGGGGGAAAGTGGGACAGAAAGGGAAGCATCGAGGATCAGGCCTTTCCTGTCACTTCCCAAGAAGACTCCTGGTCCCCCACCTGCAGCATGAGGTCACGTTAAGGTGTTTGGAAGTGGGCGCAGGGAAGGCGCTTCCAGAGCAGAGAGGCGCTGCAGCTGGGGTGCGGGTCTGGGGTGCAGTGTCCCCGCTGCCGGGGCTCCGGGAGCCCGGTGTGTGGGGCCGTGCGGGCGCGCGGGGGGAGTGGGACGGGGAGCAGGCCGGTCCCTCGCCCGCAGGCTGCTCCGCCCTTCTCCAGCCGTCGGCAGCCCCCAGTGGCACGTCCCCCAGCTGGCATGATGGGAGTCCGAGGCCGGCAGCGCCTTAAACACCAGACGGACCACCGACCCGGCAGTAGGGAAGGGAGGGGTCGTTTTTACTAACAGAAAACCCGGACGTGAGGATTACTCACGCGGATCCTGTCTCCTGGGAGGTTTGTGACCAGAGAATCTGTTTTTCCTCCAAAGACTGGCGGCCACGTCTGGATTTGGGGGAGGAAGCCCCTGGACGGCCGTGACAGGGGGTGGGACAAACTTGCCCTCGGTCCCCGCGCGGCCAGCAAGTCTGCGCCAGACCCACCCGCTGGCCTGCTGGACCTGCCGGAAAGTGCACCTGGACGTCTCCCGGGCCTGGGCCAGGCCCTCGAGTTCTTTTCTGCTTAGTAACTGGTTTTTGTCGTCATGGCTGGAACCCAGAAGGGGAGAAACCTTTCTGTTTAGTAACTGGTTTTTTATTGTCTACGGCTGAAACCCAGAAGGAGAGAAGTCTGCCCAATGAAATTCCGTGTAGTGTGAGGAGGTCTCGATAGAAACCAGGTGTTGGCGGAGGCCTTCCTCCCACGGGGGCCTCCGGCGGGCTGGGGTCCCCCCGGGGCCTTGGCACTGAGCCTGCGGAGGGAGGGAGGGAGGGAGGGGCGTGGCCGGTTCCCGGTACGCAGGGGTGGCCCCTCCTCCCGCCTGACCGCCCCTGGGCGGGGGTGCTGGTCTGTGGGTCCAGGCACCACTGACGGGGTCCCCCAGGGACGTGCGCGCGGACTGTGTGTACGTTCGTTTTGTCCGCCCCGGAGCGAGCGCCCTGAGAGGGGGCCCCTGCGCCGGCGCTCCTGGCTCGGAGCGCTAGTGAGCGGCCCCAGCGCAGCCGCGGACTGGACTGGGCGAGGCAGCCGCTGTAGTTTCAGTCCCTGGCTCGCCGCGGCTCGGTGTCCTGTTCACTCGCTGAAAAGAACAGTCGCACCTCAAACGTGCCTTTAACATGGGCGACTCGTCGAAGCTCCAGCGACCAGAACAAAAAATCTCAACGCAACATCGACACACATTTTGAACGAGAGACACATCCTGACGCTTCCCCGACCCCCTTCCACGGGGCGTGGCCACGTCCCCCGGGGAGAGGAGTCTGCTGGCCAGGCAGCCGTGGGAGCCTGACCCCCGTTAGGGTGTCTGCCTCGCTGCCTTGCTTCTCTCCAGATCACCATCGTCACTGTCTCTGCCGAGAGGGGC